AACCATAGTGTACAACGAGAATTAAAAAAAAGTTAACTACAGTAACATGCACGAGCTGTATTTATAATTATTTGTATGAGCGGATTGTTCTAAATGCTAATTAGGAATTTTTGATCAATCCAATAAATGCAGAATGGGAATGGAAAAGTTAATAAATATGTCAAGGGAATTTTGACCAAATCAATAAATGCTGAGATTTATTTTTAAATCAAAATTTTTAAAATTTAAGATGAGAGATTGGAGTTTTCACGAAGCTTGGGGTTAGAAACTTTATTTTCCTTAATCCTATTTAGCAATTATAATATATATGTGAATTACGAATTTTAAATGTCTTTTTTTTTTTTTAAATGTCTTTCTTTTTTTCCTTTTTATATTATATAAAGTTTAATATTTTGATAATAATCATGATGTTGGACTTTTTAAGGAATAAATGTCTTCTTTTTTTTATTATATTATATTAAAGTTTAATATTTTGATAATAAATATATGTGTTGAACTTTTTCAAAGGATTAAATATTTTTTTTTTATTCTATTGATGTTAAAGTTTAATATTTTGATAATAATCATTATGTGGCTGGACTTTTCAAAGAAATTTTTTTTATACTTGTTCTCAATGCATTAAGTGTTATTATGAAGAGATAATAATCATATGTGTTGAGACTTTTCAAAGGAATCATCGTGTTTAGGATTTTAAAGAATTTTTTTTTGTACTTGTTTCTTAATAATTAAAGTGTTATATATCAGGATAAGATTTGGGGGTTGGGAGAAGTTAATAAATGCAAAGGTTTTTTTTTTTAAATCAAAAAATTTGAAAATTTAGATTGAGAGATTGGAGCTCCCACAAGGCTTGGGGTTAAAAATTCCCTTTTGCTTAATATATAGTATAGATACTAGTCTATCACCCGTGTTATGCACAAAATAGCTATAGATATTTATATTTGTTTTAAATTTTTTATAATATGTAAATTATGTTTTTTAAGATTTTTTATGAAAATAATTTAACAATTTTATCACTAATCATAGTGCATAGGAGAAATTAAAAATGCTACTGCAGTAACTATGCATAGGCTATATCTATAATTGTTTGTATGGGGGGATTTTAAATGTTGATCAGGGATTTTGACCAAATCAATAAATGCAGGCATGTGGAAAGACATGTGGATTGAAAAAAGTTAATAAATGCTGATTAGAAATTTTGGCCAAATCAATAAATATTGAGTTTTTTTTTTCTTAAATAAAAAATTTAGAAATTCATATTGGGATATTGAAGCTCCCACAGGCCTTGGGGGTTAAAAATCTCATTTTGCTTAATATATAGTATAGATTTTGAAAAAATATAATTTTTCTTAACACACATCACAACGTTTCATTTTCGCCTTTAATCCTACACCACTTAGTACACACCTCAAATTCAACAAAAAAAAAAAAAAAAAAAAAAAAAAAACCAAAATGCCCTAATCTTTCCAACTCTCCAACCCTTACCAAATTCTAACCCTAATCTTAACTACCACCATCACCGACGGCTACCGTCTCCGCCCCCCTTCCTAACCTTCTCTTTCTTCTTCCTCTTCTTCTTTTCTTTCTTCGGCGACTCTCACCACCCATCCACTGCCCATCAATTGATACAAATATACCTTTATCTTCCATCACTCTCTCTTTCTCTCACATACCAAATCCTTCAACTTCTCAGGCTCCATTTCAGAGAGAGAAAACGAGCAGAGATCAGAGCAAAGTCAAGCAATCAAACGATCAAGATGGCTTCGAATCACCGATATTCGAATCGGCTGAAGCCGTTCTAAACCGCGGTCTCATACAACCCATCTTTCCGCTATTCATTCTCCATCGACGATTCAACCTCCATCACCGTCGAGATCAGCGTCCCCTTCACCAGCCACAACTGCGAACACCGTCTTACACCATCACCACCACCCCCAAAGAGATCATAACCTTCTTCCGAGATATGGTGATGATGCGTCAGATGGAGATTGCCGTTGATTCGCTCTACAAAGCAAAGCTGATCCGCGATTTTGACCATCTCTACAACGACCAAGAAGTTGTGGCTATCGAAATAGAAGCGGTGATCACCAAGAAGGATTGCATCATCACCGCCTATCGCGACCACTGCCTCTTCCTCAGCTGGAGTTGGGAGCAACCGACGAAAGTGCAACACTGGTTATGGTTGGTGTGTAATTAGAATTCTGTCCAAAATGGTAATTCGACAAATGGATGTTGTGCATTCAATTAAGGTGTGTATTTGGTCATTTTAGATAAGGTCATTATTATAATAAAAAATAATCAATTAATGGTGTGCCTTAAGACAAAATGTGATATGTAAATAGAGGCGCCCCCAATTTTGGGCTCATTTATGAAAATTTTTATTTTTTCATGATACTTCATAAAAATTATTAACAGTTTATTTTCTATTTTTATTTTTATACTACTTCATGGAAATTAAATTATTCAAAGAGTTATTAAAGCAGCATGGCATCAGGTGTTAAAATTGTATATTGAAATGTTTATAAATACAAGTGTATTTCAATTATGACTGTTAAATATTTTTTAGTTTAATGAGTGTAAAACTAATATAATAAAGGTATTAAAATATGGAATAAATTGTGTATAAGGTGAGAATGAACTCACTAAAGTGTGTATAAATACTGTGGGCATATATTTTTTTGAATAATAACACGTGGGCAAGGTGACACTGAAGTGCCAGCCGAGGTGCCACGTGTCTTGGTCATGACGCCGAGATGGTCTCGGCTAGGCCGAGGTTATCTGCGTAGATACCAGAATCCGGGATGAACGGATAAGGGATAAGAGTCCTAGAATGAGGGAAGACCAGCCTGCATAAGGATAAAACTCTTAAGGAGTTTATCTTTATCTATTTGAGAGTCCTGAATAAGCATTAAGCCAGAGTCCATTGAAATTAAGCTTTTATAGGGATCAGGTTGGTGGTAGCTATAATTTTATTTTTCTTCCTTTTATTTATTAACTTCTGGAAACCTGATGCAATCAAAGTCAATCCCGTCATTATCACAAATTAAAATTTTAAATATAAAAATTTAAGAATAAAATTATTTTTTAAAAAATAAATAAATTTTGTTATTAAAAGTGTTATTATTTTATTTTTAGAGATAAAATTAAATATTTATTGATGAATTACTATACTTTTATACCAATACTTTTGTCTCAAAAAATAAAGGTTGCATTTGATAGGGTTTTGTAAATATGATTTGAGAATAGAGTTGTATTTTGAGTTTGTGAGTTTTGGAATTATAATTTAAGTGTGAAAATTTTGTTTGGTGAATGAGTTTTGAATTGAGTGAGAAATTTTTGATGTGACATATGATATTTGATACAAAAATATACAACTCATAACCAAACACACAATTCAAAATTCTATTAAAAATCATAAAAAAAATTTAAAAATTCGAAAAATATTTTTTATTGAATATATAAAAATTAACATGTGTCAATTGCCACAAAAAAAAAAAAATTTGCACTATTCTGGTCAACCAGCTGGACGACCGGTTAGCTCAAATTTTCCCGTCTTCGACTGAGTTTTCAAAAGTGAGTCTGTAATTAATTTTTGAAACCCATAACTAAACACCACATACAAACTAAGAGCTGAAATCACAATTCCAAAACTCTTCCAAACAGAGCCAAAATTCTTGGGACCAAATTATTTTATCTCTAAAACTTTATTTATTAATGACATTGAACAATTTTTGTTCTTAAATTCTTTTTCTAACTTTTTAAGTGAGATTTTAGCAACTATCCTCGCGAAGATAAAAATTAATTTCTAAATATTTTTACAATAAAATTTGACTTTTGGTTACAAAAAGTATTTTATCCCTAAAATGTATGTAAAATATTTATAAAACTTATTTAATTTGTATGAAGTTTTACAATCAAATTGATAGTATCAATACTAAGAACTCAAAATAATTACTAAATATTTTAAACAAATTTATATGATTGCTGCTTACATAAATTTTACACTCATATTAATATTATTGTATAAAATATTTAGGTTGCGTTTGGTAAAATTTTGTAAATATGATTTGAGAGTATGAATTATATTTTGAATTTGTGAGTTGTAGAATTATGATTTGAGTGTAAAAAATTTATTTGGTTATGACTTTTGAATGATTAATGTTTGAGGGCCTGAAATGCTTGGCTCGAATGTGGCTCGAAATTTTCTTTTTCCCTCAAACATTTTTCTTTCTCTTTTCCCTCTGTTTTCTCTCAATGAAACAGACAGCGTTTCTGATGAAGAAGAGAAGGGGAAGGCAGAGGTGGGTGGATGGGTGGAGGAGAAGAAAGAGGGAGGGGGAACAGAGACAGAGAGAGAGCCGAAATGGATGTTGATGAAGATGTTCAGATTTTTCTGCAGATTTTTTTTTTTCTGCAGATTATTTTCATCAACATCATGTTCAGATCTGACTGAAATTCGTTTTGATGTTTTTTTTTTTTTTTCTGCGTTTTTCTGCAGATTTTTCTGAACTCGTTGGGTCTACAGATCTTGTTCATCATCAAAATGGATGTTGATGAAGATGTTCATGTTGTTGATCAAATTATAATCTGCTCAAGCTCCGCTAGTTTTGAGCTTTCAAATTAACATCTTGTTCATCATCATTTCCAGGCGAATTAACATCTTCATCAACATCAACTCGTTGGGTCTGCAGATTCTTTGACATCAAGAACAAAAAAAAATCAAAAAAAAAAATCAGGAATTATTTATCAAGATCTGTTTGTTTGTGTTCCCAAGCTCTTCTTCCTCCTCTGTTTCTCTTCTTCTTCTTTCTTAATCTTCTTCCTCCTCCGTTCTTCTCTCCTTTGAGTTCTGAAAAAAAAAAAAAAAAAAGGAAAAAGGACAAAGACAGCTACTAGTGCAACTACAACCAAAGAATTGAAACTCACCTCCTTTGGCAATGTCCTTAGAAAAGAGATCAATTCAAAAGGACGATCATCGCCATCTCCACCAGCTCGAACTTTTCCAGGAGTAGCATCTAGAACCCAAACCTACAGGGGGGAAAAGTTCGGTGAAATATGATAAGAAAACCAAGGGGAAAAATGACAATTTAAACATAAAAAGGTCCATAATAGCGGGAATACGCAAATTGGATTCACTTTTCAGGTCAATTGGGATTACCTTGAAGACTTTATTTTCGTAGGTAGATTGCCTTGAAGTTGATGCTCAAAATATCATTGGGTTATGTTGATAATATAATTTTTTTTTTTTTTGGGGTTTTGATAAACTTCCACAATTAACTAGTTTATACTTAAGTTTAAAAGATCTTCGATTCTTCATGATATAAAAATAAAATAAAATAACGCAAACTTACTCTGACAGGTCGTGCCAATGGCTTTGGAGTTTGATCCAACATGCTCAAGGCAACTGCACAAACAAGAAGGGCACAGATTAAGTACTTGCCTTGCATAAATGATTAGTACCTTAACCATCATGCATCTGTCATGCTCTGAGTTACATAAATTACATGAGAAAGAATGCTAAACATACCTTTTCCTCCAAAACTGTGACCAACTACAACTCGAGGTGTTAATCTAAGCTGCCCAAGCTACTCCAGATAAAAGACAAAGAAATAACTTGTCAAATATATAATCAAGCCAGCACATAACAAGGGGAGAAGTGTATTTTCTTTCATGTGATCATCCAGTAAGGAGCTGGTTAATTCACACATTAGAGGACTTTGTATTACAGAGAATAAGACTACAAAGAAATGCTACATATGCATTATTCAGTGAGAATATTGAAGTAACCAGGTAAGTAATCAATGAATGTTCATGTAGTAATATGTTTCCAAGAAAACCATGTGAACCTTATTTTATTATAGAAGACTAAGAAAATTCAGAGTACTAGATGTACATAGTATAGTGGAAATTTTATAAGTAGACGTAAGCAAATGAAAGATGGAACACACTAACATTCAAGCAAACCACAAGAATCATATGTCATAACATCATTACACGGAATGGCGCTCCATCATCAAAACCCAAGAAATAGCCTAATAATAACTGAACAAGATGGTGTAGGTACAGATTCAGGGTATAAAGAATAAGTAGTAGCTTAGGGATGAGATTCTCATTAGGAGGTCAATCAAGGACCTATGCAAGTCAGCGCTACCCCGTTCCTGTGGGGAACCACAACAGTGTACTGAGGGAGGAGTTGGAGGCCTTACAGCAATAGGGACTTGTGTTTCTATCAAGGTCATGCGAAGCCGGATGGTCAAAGATCATATTTCCTCTATGAAGACAGAAGAAACTCTCAACGACTAGGTGCCGCTCTCTTTTTGAGTTATTCATGCTTCTTCGCGATTTTGTTGCCACAGTGCACCCTTACGAGACAACGTAATCAGTTATAAAGTAGGATTGGGGCAGCCACTGTTGGCCCAAAAATTAGTAAAGTGGTGAAGAGTTTCCACAAAAGGATTATATAAATTCTATGAAACTTGACCCGAATTTTTTTGAAGTGAATTTTATTAACATAGTGAAAAGGGGGGCACCACCCAAGTAGAGAGAAAAGGAAGAAAAAAAAAA